TCATTGGCAAATTCTTTAAATATAAAAAACTTACTTACGTGAGTCATAACAGCCGGCATTGTAGTCTACTCTTCCAGGATCAGGGTCCTCCATAAAATGTGCTGCACACATCTGAATATTTGTGTTGAACTGTTCTGGAACAGTGTTGTAAATACAACTTAACCACTGATTTCTAGTCGTGTCCTCTTTGGGAGGCCAAACAAAGTAGTTTTGCTTTCACAACGAAACACAGTGTCACACACGGCGGCCTTGAGTGAGCGGCGACCGGCGGATACGACGAAGGAGCGGTGACGTAGACATGTGGGGGCGTGTTTAAACAAGCCGTTTTAGGTAGGCGTGGTTGACTCTTAACTTTTATTTGAGACTTTATTCTTTGCAACTTTACAGATCTTCTTTATGCACCAAGAGCTTGTAACACTCCAAAGAGAAAGGAAAAATTGAAATCGCATCATATGACCCCTTTAATGTGAAGAACATTTTAATAATCTAAAGAACCTTTTTCCACATAAAGGGACCCTCAATGCCAATAATAACTCTCGGCCACAAACTTTCCTTTTAAATGAAATAAAAATTAATATTACTTTGCAAAGTTTTATCAAATCAGTTGTGCAACTTGTGCTACAAATTAAACAATGTACAAATTCAACAGTGCTACGCTATAAAAGATGTATGATGCTTGACATCACAATAAATTGTCCACAGACTAGTGATGGACTATTGCTTTGGACTATATGACTACAGACTATTAAATGTGAAATACTGCTGTTGTAAAATGAAAATGAATTGATAGTTTAATGCATTTATGTGTTTGAAGTTCCCTCAAATCAGCATTTCAGTTAAAAGCAAAATAGAACTTTCTATTTATATTTCTGGTTAAAGCCAAGTCAAGAAGACATACCAGTTATAAGAGGACACAGTATTGCAAGCAGGAATAGATTCATCCATGGTTCACACTCCATGATGTTCTTGTCAGGTTCACACAGCAAATGAAACAACAACCAGAGAAGGACACATATTTATAGAGCAAAGTAAACAAGAGGAAGTGACCATGGACATGCACTATTCTGTCAAATACTTTGTCAAGGTAAAACTCACTTGATTTTTTTCATACATGGACCCTTAAAATCATTGATCTTAAAATGATCTTAAAACTGATTCTGAGAAATTCTTTATTTTTCCTTAAAATACACTGAAAAAATTCTACTACATTTTTTAAGGTAAGTGGTTGCAAACAATTCATTTTAGCTACAATTAAATAAAAAATGATGAAAGTTAGTCAACTAAATTTGTTTATTTAAATGTAGCTAAAATAAATTGATTGCAACCACTTAACTTAAAAAAAATTAGTAAATTCAATGAATCATTTTTTTCAGAGAAAGCAGGATGGGCCAATGGGTGTTGGCTGAAATTTAGTAGTGTGCTGGGAAATTGCATTCATAGGCCAATAGGTCATCTCAAACGAGTGTTGCAATAATCTTCACCCCAAATTTCCATACAGTACTTCTCCTTTTAATGTTTCTATTTTTTCTGTCATCATGTTACTGTTAATGGTAAAGAATGTTAGAATCATGTTACTGGAAATGGTAAAGTAAGATTTAAAAGAGCATTTAAGATGTAATTCAGTATGCTGTAGAAGGATGCAGATGGTTGACTGACAGACATTGATTGACAATGGATGAACCTCAGCGATCAGCACGGATCAGCTCTAGGCATGACGAAGCGGATATTGTCCTCTTTTGGAAGACCAAACAAAGTAGTTTCGCTTTTACAACGAAGCACACAGCGTCTTTATGACAGGCGGCGTAAACAACAAAACTACAGCGAGAATAAAAGTTATGCCTTGTTTCTTTGCGTGAACATTTGGGCGGTGTTATGCAAATCTTCCCACATCGTGACGTAGACATGTGGGGGCGTGTTTAAACAAGCCGTTTTAGGTAGGCGTGGTTGACTCTTAACTTTTATTTGAGACTTTATTCTTTGCAACTTTACAGATCTTCTTTATGCACCAAGAGCTTGTAACACTCCAAAGAGAAAGGAAAAATTGAAATCGCATCATATGACCCCTTTAATGTGAAGAACATTTTAATAATCTAAAGAACCTTTTTCCACATAAAGGGACCCTCAATGCCAATAATAACTCTCGGCCACAAACTTTCCTTTTAAATGAAATAAAAATTAATATTACTTTGCAAAGTTTTATCAAATCAGTTGTGCAACTTGTGCTACAAATTAAACAATGTACAAATTCAACAGTGCTACGCTATAAAAGATGTATGATGCTTGACATCACAATAAATTGTCCACAGACTAGTGATGGACTATTGCTTTGGACTATATGACTACAGACTATTAAATGTGAAATACTGCTGTTGTAAAATGAAAATGAATTGATAGTTTAATGCATTTATGTGTTTGAAGTTCCCTCAAATCAGCATTTCAGTTAAAAGCAAAATAGAACTTTCTATTTATATTTCTGGTTAAAGCCAAGTCAAGAAGACATACCAGTTATAAGAGGACACAGTATTGCAAGCAGGAATAGATTCATCCATGGTTCACACTCCATGATGTTCTTGTCAGGTTCACACAGCAAATGAAACAACAACCAGAGAAGGACACATATTTATAGAGCAAAGTAAACAAGAGGAAGTGACCATGGACATGCACTATTCTGTCAAATACTTTGTCAAGGTAAAACTCACTTGATTTTTTTCATACATGGACCCTTAAAATCATTGATCTTAAAATGATCTTAAAACTGATTCTGAGAAATTCTTTATTTTTCCTTAAAATACACTGAAAAAATTCTACTACATTTTTTAAGGTAAGTGGTTGCAAACAATTCATTTTAGCTACAATTAAATAAAAAATGATGAAAGTTAGTCAACTAAATTTGTTTATTTAAATGTAGCTAAAATAAATTGATTGCAACCACTTAACTTAAAAAAAATTAGTAAATTCAATGAATCATTTTTTTCAGAGAAAGCAGGATGGGCCAATGGGTGTTGGCTGAAATTTAGTAGTGTGCTGGGAAATTGCATTCATAGGCCAATAGGTCATCTCAAACGAGTGTTGCAATAATCTTCACCCCAAATTTCCATACAGTACTTCTCCTTTTAATGTTTCTATTTTTTCTGTCATCATGTTACTGTTAATGGTAAAGAATGTTAGAATCATGTTACTGGAAATGGTAAAGTAAGATTTAAAAGAGCATTTAAGATGTAATTCAGTATGCTGTAGAAGGATGCAGATGGTTGACTGACAGACATTGATTGACAATGGATGAAATGAAATGAAGTAAAGGATTGGGGGGAAAAATTTGAAAAATGAAAGAAATGGGCTTTGGGATGTTTGACATATTATGTTTGGACTAACTAAGTGAATGAAGCAGCATTGCATCAGGATCTTTACTGTTACTATCGCTTGTATCACATAAAAAGTCAACATTTAATAAGAGACAATTTCAGTCAGAAATTTGAGAAAAAAGTCAGAATTTGACTTATTTAAAATAAATATTAATATGCATTATGTAGTGTTAATATTGTCTTTGATGTTCATTTTATACAGTCCTTTTTTGTTGCTGTGGCAAAAATATACTGCAGTGTTTGATTCAGTTTTTTTGTAATTGTTGCATTGGGAAATAAATAGTGCAGCACCAATACCACTATGATGTAACCCTGCAAAACCCCCTTTGTTGCAATCATAAACTATTTGAGGAAAATATTTTTTCTGTTTCTAAATCTGTGACATACTTGGGACATTTATGAGTATAAAATTGAATGGGAACAGCATATAGCACATTTTGGAGCAGGTAACAAGTACTTTTGTAACAGGTCTTGTTTTGTTCTTATTCTTCTCATACAAACTACTCCATTTTATAGTTTCATTTCTGCATATACTTTTTGTCGAATTTTATTGTGCATGATTTTAATGTTTATTATTTTAAATTAGATACACAACTTCCACAGAATCATATACCAGTCTACTGATTTTCTAGCTAATCTGGTGTCCATGAGACTGTAAAATTAAAAAATGTGTCCCATTGAATCTAATATAGGTAACTTAAAGTTAATCATCTACTGTAAACAATTTTTGATATGTGAAGAATGGGTTTCCCAAGCTGAGTCATGGTTTCTTACAAGGTTTTTTCCTTATCCTCTATAATTATATTTCACCGTAACAATCGGTTTACTGGTAGTGTTAGAGTTCTATTTACAGGAACTGCGGGCAAAAAAAGAAAATCTACACAGCAAATTTGAAAGTGTTAAATTAACACTCACAGTGAGAAAATTTACACTTTTTCGGTGTTTATATAGGTCCACACTAAATAGAGTTAAACTAACACTTTAATGCACATCATCTATCCTTCTTCGTCGACTTGGTCCTCCACTTTCAGTCATCTCCAAGCCAACACGTTTTGGGTTCTTCCTCGACAAAGTTTTAAGGCGCCAGGAGATGAACTCTGTTCCCTTTTCCGGAACGTAGAAATGCTCCTGTCAGAAAGACAAGAGAACACTTTTTGTAAGATCTGAACATTACGTTAGTCATTACATTACATTTAATAGATAAACTACTATTACATGCCACAAAAAAGGAGCACAAAACTTAATGTCCAACTAGATTGTGTTAAAAGTACATCAATACAAAAGATTCTTACATAGCCCTTTGTTGAAAACTGGTCTTTCAGGCTAGGAAAGAGAGAAATAATGTCCAAGGCATACGTTTCCTGCTGTTTGCAGGTGGGGATCCCTCCTTCAATGTAAAAAAATTTAAAAAAAAAAATAATGGTTAATGCTAAACTTAACATTGTTTTCTACACCAATTGACACAGCTGTGTGTATTTCTTGCATCTGTGCACTGAAGTCTTACCCATGAATTGCTGTCATGTGACTAACAATATTAACAAGCTGACATCTGGTGCTTTACAATAAGGTTTCATTAGTTAACATGGACTAAGAATGCACAATACTTCTACAGCATTTAATAATCTTAGTTAATGTTAATCTCAACATTTCCTAATACACTATAAAAATCAAAAGTTGTATCTGTTAACATGAATGCACTATGAACAAACAGTTCTACTTTTATTAACTAATACTAAAGCTAGTCATTGTTAGTTTGCACATTAATTAATGTTAACAAACGAGACCTTATTGTAAAGTGTTAACATACACAAGCACTGTGGGCTTATACCTCAAGCATAGTTCCTATATGACTAAGTACATTTCTAAGCAGTAGAACAAGATTCTTAGCTTACCTTCAGTGAGGAAGTCTTGGAACCTACTATCGCTGTGCAGTTTCAGTGGGCTTATACCTCAAGCATAGTTCCTATATGACTAAGTACATTTCTAAGCAGTAGAACAAGATTCTTAGCTTACCTTCAGTGAGAAAGTCTTGGAACCTACTATCGCTGTGCAGTTTCAGAAATGTCTTCACGCCTTGATGAACATGAAAGCTGTTGGTCAAGAAAAATGCAAATTATGATGTTATTAATTAAAGAAAATCCAGCGAGCCGCTTGTCAGAAGCTCCATTTGCCACCCCACAAATGTTAACGTTACATTAAAGTGAAATCGCAGCGAGTTAATTGTAAATTAAAGTATCTACTATTGCAGATGAAGCGCGCGCACGTCAAACACGTGTCTAATATGATGAGCAAATATTAGTTCATAGTCATACGCTGGCAGAAAATATAAGTTTAGCAAAACGCTTCTTGCTTGATTATCTGATAATTTATCTCCGCTGCATTTTAGTACTGCAGACGAGAGTAACCGCGATGTATTTCATGTAAATTCCTCGGACCATCCGAAGCTGTGCGTTCAAGGCCCACGTAAAAAAAATAAATAAAAAACGCGCGTTACTGAAAGGCCCACGTAAAAAAAAAACGCGCGTTACTGATTGCTGCTCACTATAAACAGTCAGAGATTATTTGTGGAACAATGCACAGTTATACTAAAATACTGGAGACAAAAATGCATTACAATGTCTTATTTTGGCAACACAAATAACGTGAGCCCCCAAGAAGGGGAATATGGATGCTGCGTTATTTGCGTTAATTTAACTCATTAAACAGTCAAGTTACACAAATCACAGAAATGACCCTGTTATACCCCAGATTCTAAAATATAAGAAAACTTACGTTTAAAACGTCTAACTAACAAACAATGCCATTCTTACCTCAATTTGCTTGCTAACAAGTAGTGCAGCTAAATGGCCTCGAGATGCTGTCGGTGGTCTGTCGCGTTATCTGAAAAGAAGTACTGTTAGCACTCTGGCAATGTTGAGAAATGTACTAATATTATTCTGAATGGTGAGAAACGTAAACTACACATGAAAATGTGTCAATTTAAGTGGTTATAAAATATTATACCTGTTTGAACACTGTCCTCTCCTTGTGGTTGTCCGCCATTAATCAAAAAGGAAATAATGTGCAAGGACCGGAAATTGGATCAACTCATCACCAGTGTCAATTATGTCAACTCGCTGTAATTACACTGACTCCGACCACTGATTTACACTGCAAGTGTTAATGCCATTCAAATCAACACCAGAATCAACACTTTTTAACTCTGATAAATTAACACCATAAAAACAACTCTAAACAACACTGGATATTTTGCTGTGAGGGCGTGTATTCAAAATAAACAAATAGACAAAGGAGTAGTTTGATGACGCCGTGACTGAGTGTGGCATCATGGGAGTTGTCGTCTTAATCCCCACAGCCGATGCAATCCAATGGGACTCGGGCAGAAATCATGTTCAAGAGTGTGTGTGTGTGTATGTGTATTGGTGTGTATATGTGTGTATATATGTATATGTGTATGTATATATTTATCAGTCTGGCGAGTAAACAAAAAAATTTACTAGCCAATGGCGATTCAATTGCCAAGGTGTTCGTAGAGGGCTGTGTTACATGAACCAGATACTCACTGCTGGTATAGAAAGGAGTTGAGAAGTGTGAATAGCAGCAAGGGAAGCTGGGCTAACAGCACGCTCATGTTACCAAACATGTAAGTGTCGGTCTGTGTAGAACTTGTACCATTTTTCAAACGGTCAGTGAAATACTGCAAACAGAAGGGAATGGAGTATGAGCACAAGAGATTTAGAGATAACCTTTAATCAGCGAAGGTCTTTATGTCTTACATTCATTGCAGTTATGAAGAAGTTCCATGGAAGCAGAGTTCCCATTCCCAACAAGAAAAAGATAACAGCCACAAGGCCACTGTCAAGGTTAAAGAGAGACAATTATGTTATATAGTGTCATAAATGAAATATCACAAGCACAATTTTTTTTTTAAAATGATTAACATGATCATGATCTCAACTAATTTACTGTTATCTCCAGTAAATCAGTTGGCATCAGAATTGCACTCACCTTCTGTCTGATGCTCCCTTACAAATCCTCATTTTAATGTTCTGAAAAAAAGTTATACATTTTGTTGTTATATAATAAACCATGTTTTGTGACATCAATACACAGCCATATAGGCATCACAGATTTTTGTAAATGTGCATAACGACATCCACAGGACTTATGAGTGAAGTAAAAACTTAAAACAAAAACTGTGAATCCTAGCTGTCATTTAAGTTGGGTGGTTCTCAATGTTTTTGATTCGAAGGCCAAACCACTGTCCAACATACTGGCCAAGATATTTCATTTATTAAGAAAAACTGTAGCATTGATAAATTGCATTTAATTAATTAAACATGATTTGTTTAGTGATTCTAGAAGATCTAAGTTTCTTACTCACACATCCTTGTGGGGACATTTGGTCATAATACGTCTCATCCGCTTCAGCAAACTTTCACAGTATTTAAATTTAATGTTTAATAATAACAGACAACATTAAAAAAAATACCTTACGGACGTTTTACTTAAGTAAAAGTAGTTGATAATAGAATGCAAGAACATTTCATTTTTACTTGTATGTAGCCTAACACAAATCACTTACCTTACACTATATGGCGAATCCAAATACGTTATTTCAAGCTATTACTATTAGCTATAAGGACGCGTGAAGTGGCATTTGTAGTGTCTTTTTCCGCTGCTCTGAGAAATCACACTCAGTCTTGGGTTTTTGATGCCAGAAGAAACACACTTTATTTCAACAATGAGAATAAAGCGGAGAAGCTCTGCAGAGAACATCTCCAGAATGTCTTTCTGTCTTCCTTTTTATACACGTTGGATTTTAAGGCATGGGGTATATATCCCATACAGTTTTCCATACATAGAATGGTTCCTTTGTGCATACAATTCTCCCTAGAGAGAAAGCCCCCCCTCTCTAGTCTTGTTATGGTAAAGAAAGCCCCCACTTATGTTTTTTCCAGATGTTTCTCATCTGAGGTCTGTACTTTCTGCCACGTAGGCCTGTTTTTATACACAGGCATATGGGATTATAATGGAAGTATAACTGGATATATTAATGGCTAGATTC